TCCAACCTGGGCTGGCTTCGAACTCATGACCTCTTGGTCAGTAGTGATTTTAATGCAGCTGACTCCCAACCAGCTGCGTCACAACCCAGATGCAGGGTGAACTACAACTCACATGCAGGCAGGTCTTTCCCCACCCCTGCAAACCTCTCCAGTATGTTATGTTGGCTCAGATTATTTGAAAAAAGCACTGTTTGTTTTGGGGTGTTAGGTAATATCAGTTTGATAATTTGTAGCTATATTTCTTAGAAAAAAGCCAGTCTTTCATGTTGTTTTTTTATGAATCTTCCCATTACAAAATGCATTAGGATGTGGGTGAACTGCATTTCCCAAAATCGTGGGCATCTGTGGCAAGTGAGAGCCATCATTGGTTGGATTTGCAGTGCTCTCTGGATGTAGGTGATGTTGGTGAACTCCTCTAAATCATGGTGAATTCTTCCCAAAACTCTTGTTCAGTTGCTGATCAATTCCTTTTTGCTGTGTGCCACATGAATGGGTAGGAAAGGGTTAAGTGAGAGGCAGTAGGTGGGGTCATGCAAATTTGGAAAGAGAAAGGAACCCTGAAATGTCCATTCCAGAGGAAAGAACAGAACATCTGGAATGAAATGGTCCCTGAATGAAAGCATTCCTTGAGTGGTTGGTGTTTGGGGAGGACATTGGCAGGGGTTGGGCTACATGTTCACAGTGCTCACTATGACCTGCAGTATCAGTGGAGGGAGTGACTTTGAAGGCTTCTAAGCACTTGGAATTATAGCCTGTTTGGAGGCAGGAGGCTGCCTGTGTAAGTGGACACCTCCGCCACATACACATTTTTCACTTTTATTATATGTGTATGTGTAGAGATAGATAGAGAGATAGCCACCTCTCTACCGAAGTCAACATTGACACCGAAATACAACACCACCATAGGGATACAAAGGTGCTTGTTTGTAAAGCTATTGTTCTCATGACCCTGATATATGCCTGCAAAACGTGGACTATCTATATGCCTGTGAAATGTTGACCATTTCCGCTACCTTGGCAGCCACCTCTCCACCAAAGTCAACATCGACGCCGAAACACAATACCGCCAGAGTTCTGCGTGTACAGTATTTTTCCGAATGAAGCAGAGAGTGTTTGAGGACCGGGACATCTGTAGGGAGACCAAGGTGCTTGTCTATAAAGCTATTGTCCTCCCAACCCTGCTATATGCCTGTGAAACATGGACTGTCTACAGATGTCACATGCAACTCCTGGAACGATTCCATCAGTGCTGCCTCCGGAAAATCCTTCAAATCTCTTGGGTAGACAAGCGGACAAATGTCAGCGTGCTGGAAGAAGCAAAGACCACCAGCATTGAAGCGATGGTCCTCCGCCATCAACTCCTCTGGACCGGCCACATTGTCCGGATGCCCGACCACCGTCTCCCAAAGCAGTTGGTCTACTCTGAACTCAAGAATGGAAAACGGAATGTTGGTGGGCAGGAAAAGAGATTTAAGATGGGCTCAAAGCCAACCTTAAAATCTCTGGCATAGACACTGAGAACTTGGAAGCCCTGGCCCTTGACCACTCCAGCTGGAGGTCAGCTGTGGCTAGCAGTGCTGTAGAATTTGAAGAGGCACGTGCCAAGAGGAAGGCATGTCAAGCCAACCTCGACCGGGACCGCCTTCCACCTGGAAACCAATGCCCTCACTGCGGGAGAAGATGCAGATCAAGAATAGGGCTCCACAGTCACCTACGGACACACCGCCAGGACACTACACTTGGAGAACCATCATCCTCGGACAATGAGGGATCACCTAAGAAGGTGAGATACCTTGAAGACAGGACCCAAATCTAAACACAAAACACATTTATATTTCTCTAGCCGTCTCCTGCCACGCGTTGCTGTGGTCCAGTCTGTGTATATGTGTTTTGTGTGTGTATATGTGTTTTTATTTGTGTTTATATGTATGTTTGTGTTTATATATGTGGTTTTGAACATGCATTGTAACGTATTTTTCATTTTTTGGCTTTTTAAGTCTCTTCTTTAAAAAGATCTTGGAGTCCTCGTGGACAACAAGTTAAACATGAGCCAACAATGTGATGTGGCAGCAAAAAAAGCCAATGGGATTTTGGTCTGCATCAATAGGAGCATAGTGTCTAGATCTAGGGAAGTAATGCTACCCCTCTATTCCGCCTTGGTTAGACCACACCTGGAATATTGTGTCCAATTCTGGGCACCACAACTCAAGAGAGATATTGACAAGCTGGAATGTGTCCAGAGGAGGGCGACTCAAATGATCAAGGGTCTGGAGAACAAGCCCTATGAGGAGCGGCTTAAGGAGCTGGGCATGTTTAGCCTGAAGAAGAGAAGGGTGAGAGGAGATATGATAGCCATGTATAAATATGTGAGAGGAAGCCACAGGGAGGAGGGAGCAAGCTTGTTTTCTGCTTCCCTGGAGACTAGGACGCGGAACAATGGCTTCAAACTACAAGAGAGACGATTCCATCTGAACATGAGGAAGAACTTCCTGACTGTGAGAGCCGTTCAGCAGTGGAACTCTCTGCCCCGGAGTGTGGTGGAGGCTCCTTCTTTGGAAGCTTTTAAACAGAGGCTGGATGGCCATCTGTCAGGGGGATTTGAATGCAATATTCCTGCTTCTTGGCAGAATGGGGTTGGACTGGATGGCCCCTTCTTGCTTTTTTGGCTCTTTGATTCTATGATTCTGCTGTGTTTTTCAGTGTTTTTATGGGTGATGGTCACTCGTTGGCCTGATAGGTGTCTTGTGTCCAAATTTGGTGTCAATTCTTCCAGTGGTTTTTGAGTTATGTTAATCCCACAAACGAACATTACATTTTTATTTATATAGATATACAATACATCTTGGAAATGATTATATATGTGGTTGATGTAGAGCTTCCCCATCTTAACCAAAGTTGGGGAATACAGGACAGCAGTCACCATCCCCTCCTGCCTGATTGTCACAGCAGTCTCCTACTGCAACTTGGGTCCTATCTGTCCATTGTTGCCTGCAGTGATGTTGGCTGGGGTGACAGGACACTCTGAGAATGGAGAGGGGATTCCTACTCTCTCACTCCTTCCCTCATTGTCCCGTTCAACATCACTGGCATTATTTGCCATCTAGCCTGGTTTCCTGAATTTATTGGCAGTTCTCGCAAAAGTGGAAAATGACTGTTGCCAAATCAACTCCAAATCTAGTGTTATAAATCTTTGTTGTGATGCAGAATATTTTAGGGAATATTTTGATCTTGAAGGGAAATTACTATCTGTAAGTTTTCCTGGGAAAGTGAAAACAGCTAGTGTATTAATACAGATCCAGCAGAGTCGAGTTTCCTTGGAAATATAACCTACACATGTTTGCAATTCAGAATCTCCATGGGGTAGGCTTGATGTGAACTAACCAGCTGATCTCTGGCAACAAGTCTCTAGTATACTGTTATGTAGCCAAATTCCCTAAAGGTGAGAACCTGTTTCTATTTTAACACAACACCTGACAATTCCAGATAACATCTCTGGAGTGATGCATAAACAACCATCGGCTGTAAATTGAACTTAAGTCTGCTACAAGGGTTGAATGAAAAGTAATGCCTCCACTTTCGTAACTCCTCAACAGGTACTGGCTTGTTCAGTAGATCTCCTCTACAGTTCCATTTTGGTGGGAAGCCTTAGCATTCAGTGGTTGTGTTGTTAAAGTGTGAAGTATGGAACTCTGTGCAGATGGTTGGTCAATGCAACTTAAGCAACGCATAGTCATTTAATTCTTGACAGCAGAAGGTGTCACCCCAAAGGAGATTAATCAGAGAATGCAAGTTGCTTATGGTGATTGTGTTGATGTGAGTACTGTGTGTTGTTGGGCGAGAAAGTTTAAAGATATTGAGGTGGGAACATCTGACTTGCGTGACAAACAAAGAGTTGGATGTCCTGTGACAGCAACCACCGAGTTTGACAGATTGATTCAGGATGATCATCGTATCACTCAGAGAGAAATTTCAAGTATAATTGGCTTTTCACAAGTACGTGTGGGTCACATTATTTCTTTGCTTGGCTATCAGAAGATCTGTGCATGATGGGTACCCAGGATGCCGATGCCTGAAATGAAAGCACACAGACTTGAAACTTCAGAGACTGGATCTCACCACCTTATGACATTCTCCATACAGTCCAGATTTAGCGCTGTCTGACTTCCATTTGTTCCCAATAATGAAAGAAAATCTGTGGGGACATCATTATGCTTCTGATGAAGACGTTGAGAGAACTATGAGGCACTAGTTGCAGAAACAGAGTGTCGACTTCTTCCGTGACGGCTTCAGAAAATTGGCAGAAATGTATCCAATTATCTGGTGATTATGTGGAAAAGTGAATAGTGGTAGTTAAAGAGCACATTCTAAGGATTATTTCTGCGTTTGATTTATTAAAATATTCCCATCCAAACCCAAGTAACGAAGGTGGAGGCATTACTTTTCATTCAACCCTCGTATATAAATAGACTCAGAGGTTTCCAATTGTGTTTGCACAACACACCTACACATGGCAGTCGACACACTAATGCATCATGACACACAGTTTGGAAAGCTCCCGTGTAGTGGTTTGAGTGCTAGGTTATGACTCTGAGACCAGGGTTCAAACCTACACTTGGCCATGGAAACTCATTAGGTGACTTTGTTCAATTCACAGTGTCTTAACCTCTGAAAAAATCTTTGCGAGAAACCTCCATGGTAGATTTAGCTTAGGATCAACATTAGTCAGAATTTACTCCAGAGCCTACAACAGAAAATACTGTAAGTGTTACTGTTGAGAAAACCTTCTATGGCATAATATTTCAAACTTGAGGTGCCACTACAGAGAAGGCCCTGTCTCTTAATGTATTTCTTTTATCAGCAATACCCAGATAAGGGCTTCTTCTGACAATGTTCATGCATGGGCAGATTGACATTGGAGGAAGTGTTCCTTCAGAACATAATGCAATTTGTGCAATTTCTCAAGCCTTTTCTATATTTAATCTTGGCTCCTTAACTTCTAGGTACTGGCCGCTGCGTGGAAAAAGGGGAACCAGTCAAGGAGAAGTGTTCATTTTTCAATGCTACTGCCATGTGTGAAGGTAATGCTTTCAGCTTATAAAACCCTGTGGTACAAAGGCATTTCTAGAGCAGAAGTTATTCCCTGTACTAGAACTTGGGATATTCATGGAGCCCGGTAAACAAACAAGCACTGCTTGGAGTGTAGGGCAATAAAATGCAAAAAAAGAGACTCCACCACACTTTGAGGCAGCATATTCCACTGAACATTTCTTTCCATCAAGAAGTTAATATGTTGTTGAAGGCTTTCATGGCTGGAATCATTGGGTTGCTGTGAGTTTTCCAGGCTGTCTGGCCATGTTCCAGAGCATTCTCTCCTGACATTTCAACCACATCTATGGCAGGCATCCTCAGAGGTTGTGGGATCTTTTGGAAACTAGGCAAGTGAGGTTGCTATATCTGTGGAATGGTGCCCAGTTTGGGAGAAAGAACTCTTGTCTGTTGAGAGAGTTCTGCAGGAGTCTGCTGTATTCCATGCAACTGTGGACAAGTCTCCGTAGGGACCACCAAACGCAGCATTGCCCGGACACGAATCAAGGAACACGAAAGGCACTGCAGACAGAGTTAACCTGAGAAGTCGGCCATAGCAGAGCACTTAATGAACCAACCTGGACACAGCATATTATTTGAAAACACAGAAATGCTGGACCACTCTAACAACTACCATGTCAGACTACACAGAGAAGCCACTGAAATCCACAAGCATGTGGACGATTTCAACAGGAAGGAGGAAACCATGAAAATGAACAAAATCTGACAAGTATTTAAAAAAAACCTCTAAGATCAGGACAGTAAAGAAAGAACAACACTCAGAAACAGGGGAATTACAGACAAGAATCAATCAGGGCCAGCCAACACCTCCCAATAAAGGATTGCCCCAGGCAGGAAGCAGCCAGGCTTTGGAGCTGCAAGACTATTCAGTATTAATCAAGCCTGCCAATGGCAATCTTGACACTTGTCTCCAACAGACAAAAGTTCTTTAGCCTACCCTGGACATTATTCCACAGATATATAAACCTCACTTGCCTAGTTTTCCAACAGACCTCACAACCTCTGAAGATGCCTGCCAGAGATGTGGGAGAAATGTCAGGAGAGAATGCTTCTGGAACATGGCCAAAGAGCCTGGAAAACTCGCGGCAACCCAAGAAGTTCATACTTTAGGACAGAATCTAGAAATCGAGCCAATGTGGAAGATATATAGGACCTGTACTAAAATTTTGCTAATTGTTCTGAGTGTTAACCTGGTCGACGTATCAGTCGGCCACGCTTCTATGTGGGGTGCCCCTTTCCGTGATTGCTAATGCAATCTGGGAAGTCAGAACTGTAACCTAAATAACATTTCTAAAGGAAAGGCCCACTTTCCCATATAACTGGTTCCCCTCTTGAACCACACTTGAAAGATTCTCTGACAATTAAATTTGTCTCTCTTGAATCTTAAGCCCATCAGATCTACTTCTGTCCGTGGAATCCAAGCGGGCATCTCTTTGCCTTTTTATTTCTAGCAATGCTACAAGGTATTTAAAGTTTTTGCCCTTTTGCTTTCATTATCCTTATGTCACCTTCCTTGAGGCTGAGTATGAATAGCCATAAGCATATTGTCCAGATCTGATGCACTCGGTTTGGGTGTCTTCATCTACCGTAAGTCAGTTTGCTTGCTATTCAACAATTAGTGAACCTTTGTTTTTGGTTTACCCTTTTCTTAGCCCCACGATCAGCTACCACAGAACCTCCATCCGGAACCACGAAAGAGCCGCCAGAGCCATCCAGTAAGAAGCCAGAAATTGTCACATTTGGTAAGACATATTGGTATTTTTTTTGTCCATGTTCCATGCTTGCTGCAGAACAGAAGATGATTCTTTATACTAACTAGTTACTAGCTAATTAGTCTATTTGGGACAGTAATGTTGGCACTGTGTTGTCGAAGGCTTTCATGGCCGGAAAGACTGGGATGCTGTGAGTGGTGACAAGAAAGCTACAAACCCATGTTGGGCTCACTACGCACTACATCAAGGACTCAGCCCACTTCATAGAAAAAATCAGCAAGCTCAACACCAGTGACAAACTGATCAGCTTCAATGTCGACAATTGTCGCATCACTCAGAGAGAAATTTCAAGCATAATCAGCATTTCACAAGAACGTGTGGGTCACATTATTGCTTTGCTTTGCTACGGAAGATCTGTGTACAATGGGTTGCGGAAACAGAGTGTCGACTTCTTCTGCGACGGCTTCAGAAAACTTCGTTGGCAGAAATGTATCCAATTGTCTGGTGATTATGTGGAAAGGTGAATAGTGGTAGTTAAAGAGCACATTCTAAGGATTATTTCTGTGTTTGATTTATTAAAATATCCCCATCCAAACCCAAGTAACGAAGGTGGAGTAATTACTTTTCATTCAACCCTTGTGCATGGTTCAGACAACTTCACCATTTGGAACCATGGAGAAGAAGAACTAAACAAATTCCTGGACCACCTCAACAGCATCCACCCAAACATTTTATTTATTTTATTGATTTAAAACATTTATATTGCTTCCTTCTCACCCTGAAGGGGACTCAGGGCAGAGCACAACATATAAGCAGCAAACATCCAATTCACCATGGAAAAAGAAAATTAATGAAAACTGCCATTTCTAGATGTCCTAGTCATCTGCAAACCAGATCAACAATTGAGTCACACAGTTTACAGAAAACCCACGCACACAGATAGATACCTACATAAAAACTCCAACTATCACTCAAGTCAAAAAAGAAGCACCATTAAAGCCCTGGCAGACCGTCCAAAAAGAATATGTGAAGCTCACCTCCTCCAAGGTGAAATGAACCTCCTCAACTGGGCTCTACAGGCCAATTGAGACTCCACCTCAGACATCAGAAGAGCTGCAAGACCAAGAACAAGCCACTAGAGTCAAGACAAAGATCCACCCAGAGGAAAAGTGTTCTTGCCATACATCAAGGGAACCACTGACCACATAGGGAAGCTGAGGAAGAAACACAACCTACAAACTATCTACAGATCCACTAAGAAAATCCAACAAATGCTACGTTCAACAAAGGACAAGAGGGATCCTCTCACCTCGGAAGGAGTCTACCGTATACCATACAGCTATGAACAATTCTACATAGGGACCACCAAGCGCAGCAGCATTGCCCAGGCATGAATCAAGGAACACGAAAGGCACTGCAGACTAATGCAACCAGAGAAGTCAGCCATAGCAGAGCACTTGATGAACCAACCTGGACACAGCATATTATTCGAGAACACAGAAATGCTGGACCACGCCAACAACCACCATGTCAGACTACACAGAGAAGCAATTGAAATCCACAAGTATGTGGACAATTTCAACAGAAAGGAGAAAACAATGAAAATGAACAAAATCTGGCTACCAGTATTAAAAAAAAAACTCCAGAATCAGGACAGTAAATAAAGAGCAACACTCAAAACACAGGGGAATTCCAGACAGGAAACAATCAGGGTCAGCTAACACCTCCCAACAAAGGATTCCCACAGGCAGTAGGCAGCTAAGTTTTGAAGCTGCAAGGCCATTCAGTGCTAATCAAGCTGGCCAACTGCAACATTCACACTTGCCTCAAACAGACAAGAATTCTTTCTCCCACCATTGTCATTCCATAGATATATAAACTCCTCTTGCATAGTTTCCAACAGACCTCACAACCCTCGAGGATGCCTGCCATAGATGTGGGCAAAATGTCAGGCGAGAATGCTTCTGGAACATGGCCACAGAGACCAAAAAACTCACAGCGACCCACTTTTTAAAATGCTAGCTGCCTTGAGTCTCTATGGGGAGAAAGGTAGGGTATAAATGATGATGATGATGATAACAATGTTGATAAGGAGAAAACCTGGTTATGGCTCATAAATGGAACACTGAAGAAGGAGACAGAAGGCCTGATTCTTGCAGCCCAGGAGCAAGCCATCAGAACCAATGCCATTAAGGCCAGGATTGAAAAATCAGCGGATGACCCAAAATGCAGACTGTGCAAGGAAACTGATGAAACCATGGACCATATCCTCAGCTGATGCAAGAAAATCGCACAGACAGACTACAAACAAAGACACAACTCTGTGGCCCAGATGATTCACTGGAACTTATGTCACAAGTACCACCTGCTAGCAGTAAAGAATTGGTGGGATCAGAAACCCGCAAAGGTCGTGGAAATTGAACATGCAAAAATACTGTGGGACTTTCGAATCCAGACTGACAAAGGTTTGGAACACAATACACCAGATATCACAATTGTGGAAAAGAAAAAAGCCTGGATTATTGTTGTCACCATACCAGGTGACAGCTGCATTGAGGAAAAACAACAGGAAAAACTCAGCCGCTATCAAGACCTCAAAATCGAACTGCAAAGGCTCTGGCATAAACCAGTACAGGTGTTCCCAGTGGTCATTGGTGCACTAGGTGCCATGCCAAACAATCTCAGATGGTATTTGGAAACAGTAAACATTGACATAATCTGTCAACTGCAAAAGGCCACCTTACTTGGATCTGCATGCATCATTCGAAAATACATCACACAGCCCTAGACGCTTGGGAAGTGTTCAACTTGTGATTTTTTTATACGAAATCCAGCATATAGATCTCGTTTGCTGTGACATACTGTGCTTTTGTGTCTGTAAAATAATAATAATACTAATAATACTACTACTAATAATAATAATAATAACTGACACAAGACAGTAAAGGTGGTCCCAGTGGTGATCTTGTGCCACAAATACCATCTGCCTGTAACAAAGAACTGGTGGGATCACAAGCCGGAAAAAGTTACAGAAAATGAACATGCCAAACCCCTCTGGGACTTCCGTATTCAGACAGACAGAGTTTTGGAGCGTAATACTCCTGACCTCACAAAGTATGGATCGTCAATGTCGCAATCCCAGGTGACAGCAGGATTGAAGAGAAATAACTGGAAAAGCTGACACAATATGAGGATTTAAAGATCGAACTGTAAAGACTCTGGCACAAGCCAGTCAAGGTAGTTCCAGTGGCGAACGGCACACTGGGTGCAGTGCCTAAAGACCTTGGCCTGCACTTAAACACAATCGGCACTGCCAGCTGCAAAAGGTCACCTTACTGGGATCTGCACACATTGTTCACTGATACATCACACAGTCCTAAACACTTGGGAAGTGTCCGACGTGTGATCCACTACAACAGCCAGCAGAGTGTCTGCGGTAGATTCATCTTGTTGTGTTTCAAATAATAATAATAATAATAATAATAGGCGTCTACAATGGGCTCAAAGCCAACCTTAAAAACTCTGGCATAGTCACTGAGAACTGGGAAGCCCTGGCCCTTGACCGCTCCAGCTGGAGGTCAGCTGTGACCAGCAGTGCTGCAGAATTTGAAGAGGCACGAATGGAGGGCGAAAGGGAGAAGCGTGTGAAGAGGAAGGCACATCAAGCCAACCCCAATCGAGACCGCCTTCCACCTGGAAACCAATGCCCTCACTGCGGAAGAAGATGCAGAGCAAGAATAGGGCTCCACAGCCACATACGGACCTACAAGAACACTGGAAGACAATCATCCTCAAAAAACGAGGGATAGCCTAAGTAAGTAAGTACAGGCTGCTAATGCTGGCCTGGCTGGCAGGAATGCTGTTCTTTCGTTTTGCGTGAGCACTTGTTTTCTTATTCGAAATACAGTATTTGTATCCTGCCACCTCTTTCCGAAGTCATCTTCAAAGTGCAATTGCATCAACATCTGTGGTTGGCATTTGTAGCATTGCTAGTGCTTAATACATTCCTCTTGACTCTCCTGTCCTAACGCAATGTCATTTTGTGCTTTTTTTAAAAAAAACTACTTTGATCTTTAAAAGGAAGCAAGAGATTAAAAGAAGAGTGTGTCATATTTTTCTTTCCTACATTGTTGCAACAGCGGAACAGTTCATTCATCTAATCCAGCCCTTCCTCAATCAAATGCCCTGCCGATGTGATTGACTGCAACTCCTATCCTTCCCTGCCCCACCGATCTCATCTTGCTCACTCACACAAGCCCCAGGAAATCCGGTCTGTTCCTCACCTCCATATCAGTGCTCTATTCCTCTTTCTTTTTCTGTGCTTTGGGCACAGTTGAGCATAATTTGTCTGCCTTTGAAGGAAGGTAAAAGGAAGGTAAAAGCCAGATTCTGGCTATGTCTGACCTGCAGCAGCTTCAGGCTTATTTCTTTGCCCTTCCTCTTGCGTAGAGATGGCAAACTGATTTTAAATTTATTTTTGGAGCAAATCTAAATACCCACTAAGAAAGTCTTCAACCTGTGTCTCTCCAGATGTGTTTTAGCCTGCAAATCCATTCACCCCCTGACTATAAGTCCTTTGGAGGCATCCAAGTTGAGTAAATTTACACATAATCTACAGAAGCCCTTCTAACCCGGCCATCATGAATCTGATGTCTTGAGATCTGTTGGCATACAACTCTCATCATACCATGCTTACTGGGGATAATGGGAGTGTAGTTCGGCCCATCCAGGGGATGCCAGATTTGGAAACATTGTGCTAATGCATTTGGACAGAGTTATCAATGCAAGTTCTGAGAGTGCCATGGACTGTGAGAAGATGCAACCAGTCCATCCTCCAGGAAATAAAGCCCGACTGCTCATTGGAGGGAAGTATACTAGAGACAAAGTTGAAGTCCTTTGGCCACATCATGAGGAGACAGCAAAGCCTGGAGAAGACAATTATGCTGGGGAAAGTGGAAGGCAAAAGGAAGACGGGCTGACCAAGGGCAAGATGGATGGATGGCATCCTTGAAGTGACTGGACTGACCTTG